TGCATTCTTATACACTAACAATGAAGCAACAAAAAGACAAATAAAGAAACTGATCCCATTCACAATTGCACCAAGAAGCATAAATTACCTAGGAATAAACCTAACCAAAGATGTAAAAGATCTGTATGCTGAAAACTATAGAAAACTTATGAAGGTAATTGAAGAAGATTTAAAGAAATGGAAAGACATTCCCTGCTCATGGATTGGAAGAATAAATATTGTCAAAATGTCAATACTACCCAAAGCTATCTACACAATCAATGCAATCCCGATAAAAATTGCACCAGCATTCTTCTCGAAACTAGAACAAGCAACTCTAAAATTCATATGGAACCACAAAAGGCCCCGAATAGCCAAAGTAATTTTGAAGAAGAAGACCAAAGCAGGAGGCATCACAATCCCAGACTTTAGCCTCTACTACAAAGCTGTCATCATCAAGACAGCATGGTATTGGCACAAAAACAGACACATAGACCAATGGAATAGAATAGAAACCCCAGAACTAGACCCACAAACGTATGGCCAACTCATCTTTGACAAAGCAGGAAAGAACATCCAATGGAAAAAAGACAGTCTCTTTAACAAATGGTGCTGGGAGAACTGGACAGCAACATGCAGAAGGTTGAAACTAGACCACTTTCTCACACCATTCACAAAAATAAACTCAAAATGGATAAAGGACCTGAATGTGAGACAGGAAACCATCAAACCCTAGAGGAGAAAGCAGGAAAAGACCTCTCTGACCTCAGCCGTAGCAATCTCTTACTCGACACATCCCCAAAGGCAAGGGAATTAAAAGCAAAAATGAACTACTGGGACCTTATGAAGATTAAAAGCTTCTGCACAGCAAAGGAAACAACCAACAAAATTAAAAGGCAACCAATGGAATGGGAAAAGATATTTGGAAATGACATATCAGACAAAGGGCTAGTATCCAAAATCTATAAAGAGCTCACCAAACTCCACACCCTAAAAACAAATAACCCAGTGAAGAAATGGGCAGAAAACATGAATAGACACTTCTCTAAAGAAGACATCCGGATGGCCAACAGGCACATGAAAAGATGCTCAACGTCGCTCCTCATCAGGGAAATACAAATCAAAACCACACTCAGGTATCACCTCACGCCAGTCAGAGTGGCCAAAATGAACAAATCAGGAGACTATAGATGCTGGCGAGGATGTGGAGAAATGGGAACCCTCTTGCACTGTTGGTGGGAATGCAAACTGGTGCAGCCACTCTGGAAAACAGTGTGGAGGTTCCTCAGAAAATTAAAAATAGACCTACCCTATGACCCAGCAATAGCACTGCTAGGAATTTACCCAAGAGATACAGGAGTACTGATGCATAGGGGCACTTGTACCCCAATGTTTATAGCAGCACCCTCAACAATAGCCAAATTATGGAAAGAGCCTAAATGTCCATCAACTGATGAATAGATAAGGAAATTGTGGTTTATATACACAATGGAATACTACATGGCAATGAGAAAGAACGAACTATGGCCCTTTGTAGCAACGTGGATGGAATCAGAGAGTGTGATACTAAGTGAAATAAGCCATACAGAGAAAGATAGATACCATATGGTTTCACTCTTATGTGGACCCTGAGAAACTTAACAGAAACCCATGGGGGAGGGGAAGGAAAATAAAAAAAAAGAGGTTAAAGTGAGAGAGAGCCAAAGAATAAGAGACTCTTAAAAACTGAGAACAAACAGGGTTGATGGGGGGTGGGAGGGAGGGGAGGTTTGGGGATGGGTATTGAGGAGGGCACCTTTTTGGATGAGCACTGGGTGTTGTATGGAAACCAATTTGACAATAAATTTCATATATTGAAAAATAAATAAATACATAAATAAATAAACGTTAAAAAAAGAAAAAAGAGCAAGAGAAATAAATAAGAGAAAAAAGGAGAAAGAAAGAAAGAAAGAAAGAAAGAAAGAAAGAAAGAAAGAAAAAAGAAGGGAAGAGAAAGGAGAGAGAAATTCCAGTAATAGGAGAACTGTCTTATTCGTTGCACTGAAACAACACCTTTGTAGATCTTACTGAAATTGAAATACCTGTTGTGGGTAGAAATAAAATCCTGACCCTAAAGAAGAGGTTTGTCTTTTGTGAGTGGGAAAAACTGAACCAGAGAGGTTGAGAAGTTGGTTGGGTGGTTTGTGCTGGTCAGTTTTTCAGTTTTCTGTAGCATATCAGCTCTCAAGTCATGAGGAGAGAGCTGGGGGAGGCAGGTGTAAAGGCACCTGTATGATGATGTGTGGAGCATGGCTTCAACAGGACCCACATACTAGATGAGGAACTACTTCCTTCATACTACCTTGAAGAACCTTCTCTAATGCACAAAATAATACCCTTCAAATGATAGAGATGGTATGGGAAAGAAGTAATTTATCTGCTGAGTCTGATGGCAGTAGATTGCACAGGGTCTATATTCAATATATTATGAAGGATAATAAAAGCTCAAGCTGGTTCTGATAAACCCAGTGCCAACAAGAAGAAGCTTTTGATCTTCAGGCTAGAGATTTGTGTCAGGAGCTTCAGTATAATATGTTGTTGAATGCGAGGAGGGAGATTTGGGGAGAGGATAAATGGGAAGAACCCATGAAGTGGAGGGTAGAAATATCTCTTGCTAAAGCTAGATGTTGAGCTTAATTTCATGGTGTGGAAAAATAACCCACTGATCCAAGGCCAGCCCAAGGGGGCTGTGCATTGGGCTGAGCCAGCGAGGAGACCTGGATCCTGCTACTGCCTCTGTTTCCATTTATTCTGTGGCCTCAGTCAAGTAATTTTCTCTTTCTGGATTTTGTATCTCTTCTTGCATATAACAGTGGGGTGCTAGAGAAAACTATAATTCCAGAATTCTATTCAGAGAGGAGCTTCTGAAAGTGATAAAGAGTGCTTGTTAATTGATTTAGTCCCATAAATTTTTTAATAATTTTATTCTACTATATATTATTGCTAAATAACCTCCCCCCAGAATTTAATTATTAAACTTTTCAAAAACAGTGAAAATCAATTATAGTACCCAATGCAGTGTCTTGACTATAGAGGATATTAATAAATTTCTGTTGAATGATTGAATCTATGAATAAATAAATATAAGGCACTAAGAACATTGCCAAAATGTCAAAGAATAAGACTAAAGCAAATTTGTAAGATTACTTGGGTCAAATGACATTCAGGCAATAGTTAGTAAATTGGCAAACATTTCTAAAAGTCCAAAGATGTTTTTCTAGAATGTAAGTCAATTTTTATATGTGTGAGAAATCCTCAGTTCTTCCATATCCTTTCTGATTTTCTGTCTAGTTGTTCTATCAATTGTTGAGAAAGAGATGTGGAAGCTTATAACTGTAATTGTGAATTTATCCATTTCTCCTTTCAGTTCTAACATTGCTCCACATATTTTGTACTGTATTCTCCAAATTCCATTGGAAAATAAACTTTCACTTACTAGAAAAGAGATGGTTAGAAATAATTTGAAAAGCATCTGCAAGGGAATTAAAAATTTAGAATTAGACATTAAAAAAATGGATGCCTTTTAAGTTTATTTATTTTGAGAAAGAGAGAGAGAGAAACAGAAAGAGAGAGAGCATGAGTGAGGGAGGGGTAGAGAGAGAGAATCCCAAGCAGTCTCAGCACTGTCAGCACAGAGCCTGATGTGGTGCTTGATCTCACGACTGTGAGATCATGACCTGAACTGAAATCAAGAGTCAGATACTTAACCGACTGAGTGACTAAGCACCCCAGAATTAAATATTTTTTAAGGTCACCAAAGGAGAAAAACAGAGAATTAGTGGCAACATTTAGTGATCAAAATTTGAAATGCATACTCAAGAATGAAAAGAAAATTAGAGAATTGGCCTCAATGTTTCCAGAGTCAGAAGATCAGGAGTTGGACTGGATTAGAATGTCTGAATATCACTTTCAACACTAAGATTCTTTTATTTACTGAAATTTCCTCCAAAATTGCCTGGGACTCAATTAGATTGGATGAGTTAGATATTCTCAACAACAATGGCTGACTAGAGGTAGACATATCTTTAGAAGTCTATACCGTCTATGTAAGAATTTTGGAGTAACTTGTAGATACAGAGTGATCACAGTGTATAAGCAATTATTACCAGTAGGTATGGGCTAGGAGAGGCCCGGGCTATTACTCTACAGTGAGTTTTCGTCCAGACTAGGGAAGGTGTGTGTATTTGTGTGTGGGGTAAATAAAATAAAACAGTGGCTCACTGAATTCTTCAGCAAATCTAGTAATTTAAGAGAAAAGCCAACATGATTTATGTGGAGAACAATCAGGCTTTGAATGGCCCACTGGAGTTCTCTGAGATAATAGGCAAGAGCTCAGGTAAGGAGGATTCAAGTCACTATACTTTATTTAGACTTTCCAAAGTCTTTCGTGAAGCCACAAAAATGATGAGACTTCATGAGATTTGACTGACATTTTTTTCATAAATAGAAACCTGGACTCCCATTTGACCTTGCCCTTGAGTGTAAAACTAAGAGCATTATATCCATTACTCAGCACCTCATGTAGAGCAGGAAACATAGTAGTCACTCAATTAATATTTGTTGGATGACATTTAATTCTCACAACAACCTTCTGAGACACCTATGATTGTCATCTCTATTTTAGAAATGAAAGAATTGGTGGTTTAGAGAAGTTTTCTCTGCTAAGAATGGATACCAACATTCTCTCAGTCTCTCTTAGTAACCTATACCCTGAGCCCTTTAATCTCAGCCTATCTTGATTTGCTTCCCAAACTATTCGTGCTCTGCTTGGCTCCTGAACTCAGGGTTTGCCTTCCTTTAATGGTCTTAGACTTGGTCTTCCAATCTCACCCTTATTTACTGCTCCTTCAGTGCTAAGTTGCCCTGGGCCAATCTGACTCCTGGGACCCAAAACTTGCTAAGGTCCTGTGGTGTCAGTATTATTGTTCAAGCCCCTTATATTAATTCAATCAAATGACTGATTGGACCTCTCTGTGTGTCAGGTTTTATGCTAGGTGCTGGAGATAAACATGACAGTCTCTGCCCTTAGGGAATCTATTACAGAAGACCCTGGAAGTGTGGGCACTTTCTGATAGGAAAATAAGGAAATAGGTAAGTAGAAATGACTTTGGAAGAGAAATATAAACAGGAATGTTCACTCAAAGATGTTTCCTGACACAGAGTCTATTTAACATTCTTATACATGGGAAATAAAAGATATACACAATGAAATAATCTGGTTTTCAGAAAGCTTCAACATTTTTCCAAAGAGTGAAATGTAAGCTGATGCAGATGTACTCTAAAAAGAGCCAGCAAGCTGTCCCAAAGGGCTGAAGGGAGCAAAGTGCACTGTAATATTGGTAAACACAAGTAAGTGAATTTAGGAAAATGTAATCTAGTCTGTTTATAGGATGATGGGATCTGAACTATCAAGGAGTCAAGTCAATAAATGCTTGTGATTCTACTATTGGGAATAAGGCATGTGCTGAACACTTCAGGTCATATGAAGATGATGGAGACCTAGATCCTATTCTCAAATACTCTGGGAAATATTGAAAGGGATAAATGAAGGAAGTGGTATTTTTTTTTTTTAATTTTTTTTCAACGTTTATTTATTTTTGGGACAGAGAGAGACAGAGCGTGAACGGGCGAGGGGCAGAGAGAGAGGGAGACACAGAATCGGAAACAGGCTCCAGGCTCTGAGCCATCAGCCCAGAGCCCGACGTGGGGCTTGAACTCACAGACTGTGAGATCGTGACCTGGTTGAAGTCGGACGCTTAACCGACTGCGCCACCCAGGCGCCCCGAAGGAAGTGGTATTTAAGATGAGTCTTAAATTATGAGTGGGATTTGGATGAGTGAATATTTGTGAGGGAAAAAGAAAATTCCAGGTAGATGAAAGAGCACAAAGCACTACGGAAGAAAAACTTAGGGTATTGCCCTGAAATGGCAGACGTTCCAATATGGCTGGTATGTAGGGGATATTAAAGAAAGTGGAGGATTTGAAAGATATGATAGTAAATTAGGGCTCTTAACTGCCTATCTTGGAAGCCTGTACAGGAAGAAAAGAGGGAAGACAACTGTTTTCGGCTCGGGAATTGAGGAGATGAGGATTGTACTTAGCCATAATGATTATAATAGAAAAAATGGAAACACTCTATCTGACAATAGAGGAATTATCTTATAAACATACATTGGATTATGATGCCACATTAAAAATTTTCTAGGGGTACCTGGGTGGCTCAATCAGTTAAGCGTCCAACTAAGGTCAGTTAAGTTCAGGTCATGATCTCATGGTTTGTGAGTTCGAGCCCCGCGTCGGGCTCTGTGCTGACAGCTCAGAGCCTGCAGCCTGCTTCAGATTCTGTGTCTCTCTCTGTCTCTGCCCCTCCCTGGCTCGTGCTCTGTCGTCTTTCTCTCGAAGATAAATAAATACTAAAAAACAAAATTAAAAAAATTATCTATACTTGGGGCAGCTCAGTTGGTTGAGCTTCTGACTTGGGCTCAGGTCATGATCTCATAGTTCATGGGTTTGAGCCCTGCCTACATCAGGCTCTCTGCACGCAGCACGAAGCCTTCTTTGGATCCTCTGTGCCCCCCTCTCTCTCTTTGCACCTCCCATGCTCACACACACTCTCTCTCTCTCTCTCTCTCTCTCTCAATAAATAAATAAATAATTTCAAAAAATTATCTATACTCAAGGAGTTTAAAAAGACATGGGAAAAGGCACAAAATATGTTTAAATTAAAAAAACACAATGTTAAACTGTATTACAGCATGATTTCATTATAGTTAATATATATGTAGCTGATTTTTTTCAATTGAGGTGTAGTTGACACACGTTACATTAGTTTCAGGTGTAAAACCTAGTGGTTTGTCAAGTCTATGTGTTATGCTATGCTCGCTGCAAGTGTAGCTACCATCTGTCACCATACAACACTATTACAATACCATTGACTATGTTCCCCATGCTGTGCCTTTTATCCCTGTGACTTACTCATTTCATAATTAGGAGCCTATATCTGCTCCTCCCTTTCCCATCTTGCCCATTCCCCCACCTCTTTCCCCTCTGGCAACCATCAGTTTGTTCTCTGTATTTATGGGTCTGTTTCTGCTTTTTGTTTGTTTGTATAACTGATTTCTTAAACAGCATTGATACAAGATTATTTACAGCCCTTCCTCTGCCCTTCCCTGCTCCTTTGGAAAATTGATTTGCCCATCCCCACTCCTCTCGGGTCTGGTGAACTGCAGCCTCATCATACAGATCCATCTTTCCTGGAAGTTTCCTAGGAAAGCGGGTGGAGACCTACAATGTCCGTTCTTGCTCCAGAGGCAAAAGGGAGGGGAGGAAGACCAGAGTTGTGAACCAGCGGTGGGTGGGGCTGAGGAGCTTGGGGAGCAGTAGCTGAGAGAGGACTCTGGATGGAGGGGGCTGGAGTCTGGGGAAATTGGGGAAAGGGGAGTTTACCAAGTGTTCTTGTAGGTCACATATTGGGTATTCTTTAATGCTCTCCAGAGAAGCAAATGAAGATTGGAATTATTTTCAATTACTTTTGGTTTCTGGCTGCATAGGACCCAGATCTTATTTACATATATGCACCAAAACCAAGGCAAACCAAAACAAGACAAAACAAAAACCAAACCAAAACCAAAACCAAAAAACTGAAAAGAAAGAAACCAAAACATTAGAAGTGGTTAACTCTGCATTGATGCGATTATTGGGCATTAACACTTTTATGTAGGCTTTGAATGTATTAATGGGGGTGCATTATTGTTTAAAATATATAATATAACATGTATGATATAAGTAGTTTCAATCGAGTGGTCTGGGTAGGCTGAACTGCAAAGGGTTAAGGAGTGAGTGGGGGTGATGAAGTGCAAGAAATATGGTGTGAATAGGAGAGACTTGGTCAAAAACTTAAAGAGGTGGGAAACCCAAGACATTTTTGCAGAGAGGGGGCTTTTAGGATGGTGAGATCTGAATAGTTTAACAAATTAAACAGCAAATACCCTGGGAGGGTATAGGTTTTGGAAACATTTTTGGTAATTTGCATGTCTTGGAGGCAAAGGAAATTTTATGGTTTGGTCTTCAATTAGCTATGAGGTGTTTATCACTTGGTCCAAATTATACTGGATGAGAACTAAGAGTTATTCCTTCAGCTGAGGCTTAACTGGCTCCAGTCTGGCTTTCCAAAAGTCCAAAGGTTAGGGCTGCAGTATTAAGAAAGATAAACTTTAAAGGTCTCTGATTTTTAAAGGGGAATGTTGATTCAGGAATGCGAATTGAAATCTGCAAAATCACAGTTAAATTGGATGCAGATTTCTTTGTTAAATTCTGATATTCTCAAAGTTAGAGGAAGGTACATGATGAACAAAATTAGGTATATTTCTTATGAGAGATATTAATGGATTGGATGTGTTATGTCCACAGGTTGAATCTAAGTACACTCAAAAAAAGTTTGCAATAATTCTTAGACAATTGATTAAATAGATGCTAAGGGAAAATAAAGGTTTGAGGAACATCGTCCTCAATCTTCCTGGGTAAGTATCAAAAATGACAGTGATGATAGCATATCCCACGATGCTCTCTTGGAGGAAACATTAGGTAATTCTTAAGTCTTCAAATTCCCAGAGATGACTAATGTGGGGAGTTGGTGAAGCTGATGAATTATTTATTTTGGTCTGTGACAGGTGAAGACATACCTACAATACAGACTTAAATGGGAAAGGACTGTCAGATGGGTACCTAATTATAATTGTCTCAGACTTTCTTTATGAGTCTAGTGTCCATATTTGGAAGAGGTTATAAGACGGGAAAAGTGATGAATGCAGATTGCTGTGGTTATTAATGAAGCGTAATTGGAAAGAGATATTAACTTGTCAAGAAGGTGTAAATGAAAAGACAAAAAGATCAATGCAGCATGAACAGCTAGGATGTGTGTATCAGGGCAAAGGAAGTAGGATGGCAGGGGAGGTAAGTCATGAACAAGAGGATGATAAACCACTACCTTGATGGAGCTGGTGCTCAGAGAGGCACTGGTGAGTTCTGGGGCACAGCTGTCCCACCGTGTGTGAGCACAGGTCATAAATGGGAAAAGAGGAAATACTGGAGAAGAAAGTCATTCAGTGGCCACCATACAGAATGTGTTTGAAGGAATTCGAAACAGGGAAAAAGTATCAAGTTCAAGAAGAAGTTCAGAGGGATGCTAGAATGAGAAACCCAGAGAAGGGAGAGGAAACAAATACATATTGAGTGTCTACTACAAAGCAAGCAGAAACTGTTGATGCCTCTACATTAACGCAGACTTTTTAATGTAGTTGCCTCCAACTTCCCTCTCAAAGTGCTAACTAGTTATAAAACAATAAAATAATATACACAGACGGCATACTTGATGCTCACCTATGACGAGAGACTTCCATTTTTACTTTGTTAATTTCTACGTCATTTGAAGTTTTGTAAGTATATATTATGTTTTTAACAAGACAAAACCAGAAAAATTCTATCAGAATGCGGTTAGCTTCCATAGATAAGCCACCTGTGCCACAAAATAATCACTATAACGGGGTGTATTCATGTTAAATAAAATGTATCAATAATTGGGGCTCCTGGGTGGCTCAGTCAGTTAAGTGTCTGACTTTGGCTCAGGTCATGAGCTCACGGGTTCATGAGTTTGAGCCCCACATTGGGCTCTGTGCTGACAGCTTGGAGCCTGCTTGGGTTTCTCTGCCTCGCTCTGTCTCTGACCCTCCTCCTCCCTCACTCTCTATCCCTCTCCCTTGAAATAAATAAACTTAAAGAAAAAGAAAATGTATCATTAATAGTTATAGAAATAATAATGTCTAATAAAAGGATATTACTGAGAATGTTACATATCATAGTCACATTTTCCTTAGGTTAGGCTTAAAACCTAACCCCCAACCCCTAATAAACTATATAAAATAACCATAAACCAATCTATAAAGACATATTAAGGTTTTAGAGGTTTTGATGACTGGTGTGGATGATATGAGCAGGCAGGGGCACTGAAACTTCCCACTCCTCCTTATTTACCACTAGTTATTTGACAGTTACCATAAAGGCCCCATGATTTGAATTCCCAAACATTTACCTATGGCCTTTTTCTATAATCCTTCTTTTAGTTTACTCAATTTAGTGTAGTTTGTTCTCAAATTTAGTGTACATAACAATGACCATATGGGGTGGCATACAGGAAACCATGTATCCTTTAATTTATGGGTAATTCAAGGATTTTGCCCTTAATTTTTGTCTTACTTGCTGATTCTACAACCACCCTGTTCCTTTGTATGATATGAAAGTTGGCTCTACTTGAGAGAACTGTCAGAAACTTAATTGGCTATTCCCTATGTTGCCTGAAGAAAAGAATAGGGAAACTCTTGTGGCCCAAATACCCTTTCAACTTTCCCAAACTAGTGTATATTAAATGCTTAATTTATTTAGCCTGACCAGGAATCCTACCAAAGTACAGGTATCTGTCCTTTATATTTTCTTTTTTTTTTTTAATTTTTTTTTAACATTTATTTATTTTTGAGACACAGAGAGACAGAGAATGAACAGGGAGGGCCAGAGAGAAAGGGAGACACAGAATCTGAAACAGGCTCCAGGCTCTGAGCTGTCAGCACAGAGCCCGATGCGGGGCTCGAACTCACGGACTGTGAGATCATGACCTGAGCCGAAGTCGGACGCTTACCCAACCAAGCCACCCAGGCGCCCCTGTCCTTTATATTTTCTAACAGAAGATAGAGTTCCATTATTAAGTAATCAGGTCTATTTATTGGTCAAAAACAAACAAGCATGACCATTGTAACTCTAAGAGAGAAATTAGAGAATTTGAGATGTAACCCATTGAGGAATCAAGTAGATTCCCAGAAAATGAGCGGTGCCTTTCACTAGAATGATTTCTGGCCCTTTCTGAGATGAGTGGGTGAACTAAATCGTTAAATGTGTGAGGTAAATGGTTAAATGAGGATGATCTGCCAGATGCATTCCTAACTTGAGGATGGGAGAGAAAGTGGTCAAATGGGATTGGATTAGGAGGCCAGGTGAGACTCAACGACGAGGCAGAAACGGAGACAGGGACCCCACGTTGGTTGTGCAAATTGTGTTCTGCACAAGAGCCCTGGCTGGAGGAAGGGGGAAGGGGCAGGAGAGGAAAATCTGGCTTTGGGTCTTGGCAGGGGACTGTGTCTGCAGGGTTGGGGGTTGGAGCAGGGGCTGACCTTTCCCATATGCTGAGAGGCAAAAATAGGCCCGTGGTGAATGGGGAGGATATTTGCTACATGCATTAAACTTCACACAAGTTTAAGGGTCAATTATTTAGATAACATATCCTGGTTGCAAAATGGCTGTGAGATGGCTAAACTTTTGTTAACTTACATTTTGTTTTCCACTCCGAATGCCTCCCTTCCTGTCCCTGTTGGAGAAGGGTGAGTAGCATTCAAGCAGGTACTTAGTTCCCTGAGATTTCCATAATGAGGGAAAAGCTGGAGCAGAGCAGGAAACCAAAAGTAACTATGGCTATTCTGGCTTTTTTTCTACAAAAAATATAAGCACTTAGGGGAAGGCAATTTGTAGGTACAGACATAATGTCTTGGTAACCCAAGAGGAGGTCACAGATTTCCTAGGGCTGTGGAAAGGAGAGAAAGAGAGAGAGACAGAGAGACAGACAGAGAGGGGCAGTGAAAGAGGGAGGGAGAGAATCCCAAGCAGGCTCTGCACTGTCAGGGCGGAGCCCCATGTGGGGCTCAATCTCATGAACTGAACCAAACTGTGAGATTATGACCTGAGCCGAAATCAAGTCAGACACTTAACTGACTGAGACATCCAGGCACCCCTAAAATAACATAAAATGAAAAAACAAATTTACCTGAATATAAAACCCGAGATTTATATGTACCACTGGTGCCTTTAAGTGAATATATCAAAATGGCTATATCAGAGTCATGGGTCTTGCCTCCTGTGTGCCAGGCATGTACTGTGTGAAGCATGTTCATACCTGTTCTTTCATGTAATCGTCACAACAGCACTGCATGGCAGATGTTGTGATCACCCCAGTTTACAGGTGAGATACCATGGCTCAAAGACCCAGCAAGTAAGTAGAGGAGCAGGGATGCAAACCCAGGTACGTTTTACTTCCTGCATTACATACCTGGTATCAGTGACATGTACCCAAGCTCAGAGACAATGGGAATATACTAGACTTCTCAAAGGTAAAAAGACAAAAACAGAGCTCAGTCCGCTATAGCACTGGGTCCGTCTCATTACTGAAAACTGGGTATATAAACACACACACACACTCATTCATGCATGTGAATTCCAGTTTTCCCAGAAAACAATTCCAAAATTCCCAGCCAAGTATGAGCAAAAGAGCAGACACACTTTAGCATTTATTTTTTACAAAGTGTCTAATTTATCAAAGACCAAGGTTTGACCTAAATATTTATATTCAAGGCTTTGGATACCTGGTATGCACCAATTCACAGGACAATTTTACCTGGTTAGGGTCAGGATCAACTTCATCCCAGTTGTGAGTGACATGGCCTTGGTCAATGGACTCAAAGGGCTTGTGGGAAACTGAAGGTAGAATCCGATACAGCCAGCTGGGGGGGGGAAACAAGGACACATAAGCCTTAGGGTGGTGTTATTAGGGATACGCAGACTGGCTCAGGAAGTACCATCAGGAAGATGCTCAAGTCAACAACGATCTGTGGGCTTTAATGTGAGAAGCAATGACACAGCATCACTTCTTAATAGCCACTGCTGCCCATAGCCCTGGCCTCTTCCCACCTTTCCACTCTGCCCATTACTCTTCAAATTGAGCCTCTGGCTCTTGGTTGTTCCCATACTGACAAAAAAATAAAGAATTGTCTTTTCCAATGACAACTATTAAGGAAGGGGAAGTATCTTGAGGGATATCTGTACAGGAAAATCCATAGAAAAGCATTAGTGTGTATACGTCATTGGACACTATTTCTTATTCTGGAAGGTGAGGACAATGAATCCTACATAGACTGAGAGAATATAGGGTGTTTCTTTGTTATTTTTGAAATATAAATTTTTTCTTTAAAATTATAAAAGCAATACATGACTATGGTAGAAATAATTCAAGAAATTCAAGAAATTCAAAAGTCCCTAAGGGTAAATGGTTCTTCCAGTTTCTCCTCCAAATTCTTCAGGGCCAATTATCAGAAGCATCAGAGCCTAACAATGTTCTTATATATTCTCTCAGATATTACCAGTGCATATATAAACAAAATTGCCAAATCACTGTACCACTTTATTCTCACAACAATACTGTGTGAGTGACTGATGGCTCGTGTCTTCACAAATAGGAGGCATTATTAAAAATGATTTTGGCCCTATAGGCAAAAAATAGTATTTCATTTTTATTTTCTATTTCCTTTATTATGAGTAAGGTCAAGAATCTGTATGTTTATTGGTTCTTTGTAATTTTTCTATGAATTACTTGTACAAGTCATTTACCATTTTTTTTATTGGGTTATGTATCTTTTTGATACTAATTTGTAAGAGTTTTAGGACATTAACACTCTGTACTCCAAAATTATAAGATGATCTGTCCATATAGTCTTACAGTTAGTAATTTCTTTCTTTCTCTTTCTTTCTTTCTTTCTTTCTTTCTTTCTTTCTTTCTTTCCTTTCTTTCTTTCTTCCTCCTTTTCAAGTTATCTGTGTATGTCAAGGTCTGAGCCAAAGATCTCCCTGCCAGGACCCAGATCTCAGGCTTCAGGAAGAGAAGATGCAGGAATCCTGAAGAGCACCAGGAGAAGAACCGTCCAGAAGTTGCAAGGGACACTGGAACTTGCTAAGTGGGACCCAAGTCCTTTCAGAGACCATTACTCTGGCAGTGTACAGAACAAAAAGGAACACTACTTCTGACAATGGGAGACTAGACCTGCTTAAACAGCCTCTGGCCCCTTAAACCCTAGGACAGTCTACTTCAAGGGGTGGAGTTTGCCTGGCCCTACACTGAACCATTTGGAAGATAAAAGGGCTAGATTGTCCAGGTTCTGTTTGATTCCTCCAGTTCTAAATGATGTGACCTCTGACCTTGGACTTTATGCTTATGAATAAACCAAGCCTCTGTAGTTTCTAGTAGTTAAGGGCATGCATACATGTCTAAGAAACAACTGTGTGACCCTGGGCAAGTTATGTTTCTCATCCTTATCTCCTAGGATTATTGTGAGGATTCAGAGTTTATGTATTTAGAGTGCCTGGAACATAGTAAGTTCTCACTTACTAGATATGTGTTGAATTGTCTGCCTACCCCTAATCATATGGGTTTTTAAGATGGTCCAAATTTTCCACATTCTCTGTCCTGACTCTCCCCTCCTCAGTACCTGAGGGATCAGCTAACAATCTGATAAAAAGTAACCCTTGATAGGTATAACCTCTGAGAGTTTTGTGAGGCCCTCTACTCTGTGATTTAAATGAGAAGTGACTCACTGTAAGAATTCCAGGCTTACCTGGTTCTATCTTTCCACTGGGGATTTTGAGCATTTTCACAAAAATTATTGTGGATACCTTTGGAGAGTTCTAAACAGATGGGTGAGCCATGCCTAGTGTCCCTTGTTTTTTAGCTGTTTATAAAACTCCCCAGGCAGCACTACATTACCCTGGACAGAGATTTAATTCTGATTCAAGGAATGGTGCCAGCTTCTTAATGAAATGCCAACAGCTCCTTTTCAGCCTCCTGGAACAGAGGTAAGCTCCTGCTGGCTGAAGATATCACTGAATAATGGGGGTAGGCAGCAGAATCTGGAGTCCAGGTGTCCCATTATTGAATGGCCATAAAGTCAAGAACATAGTCATGGAGGCTAGGTTGTCATAAATTAAAATGAACAGGAATTGTCAGTGTTCCTTCCTTACCTTGACTGGAATTGCAAAGAGAGAGAGAGAGAGAGAGAGAGGTGATTAAACGATAATAGAATTAACCCCTGAGTTTTGACAAGTATGGGAAATGATCTCTTCTTCCCTCCATGCACATATCTGTCAAGACAGAAGCAGTATTGTTACGGATAGACGTAGTAGCATAGCACTTGCCATAGCTCACACTCAGTTCTCTGACAGCCTCCTAGGGGTACCCTGTATTGGAGGGAGAAATACTACTATGCTGACAGTAATGGTGATTGGAATAATTAATGTTAATTGAGCACTCACCATGTGCCAGGCAATGTGCTAAGTACTTTATATGCACTGTTTCCTTTAACCCTCACCACAACTATGAAATAGGTACTATCGTCATCTCTTTGACAAATGAGGAGCCATAGGCTCTGAGGGGGTAGATGACTTGCTCAAGGTCACACAGCTTAAAGGAGAAGGAGGCATGATTTAAACTCAGGGGACCTGACTTCAGAGTGGGCATAATTAACCACTAAAGACAACAACCTATCGTTTGTGTGGTCCATTGTGCTGTCGTAGTCACTACCTCATTTGCTCCCTAGGAGGAGACTGTGGAGGTAAAGCCAGTCCCATCCACTAAGCAGTACCAGACCAACTGCCCTCCTCCCCAAGTCTCCAAAATTAGGAGCACTCCTCTCCACAGATGCCCTAGCCTGACATTCCTATAGTTCGACACTACTTGTTTAAGTACGACACTTACTGCCTCCCCAAACCACAACATCTATTGTGTTCAACCTGCCCCATGGGAGTAAATCAAGGGAGTGAGTTCATTGACCTGGCTTGTGGGATTAGAGGAAGCATGCAACATGACACATTTTGCTAATGAATGTGCTGGTTTCCATCAAAGGCAAATTCCAAAGAGTAAAAACCTTATTAATTCAAACCACAAGAGGCCATAATAGATGACCTTTCAACTGCCCAAGGTTACTTATCCAATATTTTCATGCAAAGAAATAATATTTCTAGTCAGCTGAAGAAGATATTACACTGAATCTGTAATTTTGAGTTACTCATTATTTAAAAACAAACAAACAAACAAACAAACAAACAAATCAAAATTGAAAATTCAACTGGACAACCCTTTGGGGAAGGCCAATTTACTGGGGACATTTTCTTTTCTTTAAAAAAATTTTTTTTTAGTTTACTTATTTTTGAGAGAGAGAGAGAGCGCGCGCGCGCGCGCGCATGAGTGGGGGAGGGGCACAAAAAGAAGGAGACACAGAATCTGAAGCAGGCTCCAGGCTCTGAACTGTCAGCACAGAGCCTGATGCGGGGTTTGAACCCGTGAACCGCGAGATCATGACCTGAGCCAAAGTCGTATGCTCAACTAACTTAGCCACCCATGCACCTACTGGGGACATTTTCCTTTGGAGACAAGTGATAATTTGTAAATGGAGCTGGACATGTGTGTTTTCCAAGACTCTGTGCAGCTGCTTCCTTACTTTTTTCCACCAGTGACTTGATCCTAGCTGGAGACAAGCCCTCCCCTCACAATTACCCAGAGTACAGCCTGTGAAAAGCAGAATCTTCGGCAGCCCTGGGAAGCGATGGCCCAGATGTAGGAGCCAGCACTAAGTACTAGTCATAAATCCCACAGCCTTCAGGTCAGAATTAATCTAATCCTGTACCTTCTCTTATTTGTGCTCCGTGGACAAGTGAAAGCCGATCCTGAGAGCTGCTCAGCATACAGGTTATAAGGGCAGACTTGAGGATTGTTCTAAAACAAAGGAGGCAATAAACAACATCACTCCAATCAGAAAAGCATCTCACCTTCCTGCAAACAATTCAGTGGGGGAATTCTGTCCTGGATGAGGATGCTCTGGTCCACTGCACAAGACCACCTTCAACCCATATATACTTTTTGTAACAACTGTTTAGGTGACTTTCCTCGTGTTTAGAAAAGCAATACATGTGTAATACAGAACATTTATAAAATATAACCCATGATCTCACCATCCAGAAATAACCCAATGTTGTCACACTGGTACATTTCCTTCCATTCTTATCCTCCAAAATAAGGATCCAATGATGGATGATGTGTGTAGTCCTATAACGATCACGAATTTTTTTTTGGTGGAAGAAACACTATATCATGAGCAATTTTTTCATGCCATAAAATATTCTTTAAAATTTTTGAAAATATTTTGTATGCCATACTTTTGTTATTGTAACCAACACTAGTGTAAACATCTTTGTGGATCCATTTTTAGGACTTATTATTTTCTCATCATTGTCATAACTCATGCCATTTAAGAGAACTATAAGGAAGTCCTCTTAACCTTGAGCCTAGGGGATCCTCCTGAAAGTCTTACAGTTAGTCTTGCTATTTCAGATTGCGTGCTTTGCCGTAGGTAACCACCATCCCACTTTAATCTTTGTATTGGCATTGTTGTGTATCCCAAGTATCTTTTTTTTTTTTTAATTTTTTTTCAACATTTATTTATTTTTTTTTTAAATTTTTTTTTTCAACGTTTATTTATTTTGGGGACAGAGAGAGACAGAGCATGAACAGGGGAGGGGCAGAGAGAGAGAGGGAGACACAGAACCAGAAACAGGCTCCAGGCTCTGAGCCATCAGCCCAGAGCCCGACGCGGGGCTCGAACTCACGGACCGCGAGATCGTGACCTGGCTGAAGTCGGACGCTTAACCGACTGCGCCACCCAGGCGCCCCAACATTTATTTATTTTTTGGGACAGAGAGAGACAGAGCATGAACGGGGGAGGGGCAGAGAGAGAGGGAGACACAGAATCGGAAACAGGCTCCAGGCTCTGAGCCGTCAGCCCAGAGCCCGACGCGGGGCTCGAACTCACGGACTCACGAACTCACGGACCGCGAGATCGTGACCTGGCTGAAGTCGGACGCTTAACCGACTGCGCCACCCAGGCGCCCCATGTATCCCAAGTATCTTAATGAGTTGTGAAACTCCTAGACAGTTCCCAGGAACAATGGTGAGTCGATGCACTTTGGCCTGAGGGCTGGTTATTCATTCCTACAAATCAGAGCTCTCTAAGCTGATATTCTATTCATCCATACCTGTCCTTCTGGCAGAGCACCTGGGCAGCGAGGGTCCTCTGAGGCACATTCATTCCCGAATCCAGAAATGTACTGCATATGACAAAGATACGAAGGCTGTCATTAAAGTATTTAAAGAGCATTTCACAACATTGATAGTCTAATGAAGGTAAGGTAAGAATTTCTATAAGGACATGTGTTTGTGTATGATGTTCCATATGTAATATGTTTGCTATGTCTTGGCATGTGGACCATCTAGGAAAGAAAATATGCTCTGTGTGAATTGTAAAGACCACCAATTAGGGGCTTCTGGGTGGCTCAGTTGGCGAAGCGTCCGACTTTGGCTCAGGTCATGATCTCAAGGTCTGTGAGTTTGAGCTCCGCGTCAGGCTCTGTGCTGACAGCTCAGAGCCTGGAGCCTATTTCAGATTCTGTGTGTCCCTCTCTCTCTGCCCCTCCCCCCACTCATGCTCTGTCTCTCTGTCTCTCTGTCTCTCTGTCAAAAATAAAATAAACATTAAAAAATTTTTTTTAATTAAAAAAAAAGACCACCAATTAATTGGGAGAAGACTCCTGAATATTGCATAGACTTTCCACCCTTAGCTATACTTAGTTGATTTGTGGGTTTGTTCTTAATTATTCCACCCCAAGACCAGGTTCTTTAATTATCTTTCCCCCAGGGAGTTCTGGAGAAAGGAGATAACTAGGCATCACCTCAACTCCAGATTAGTAGGATCTTCCTGGGCCTAGACTGCAACCTCCCTGTGTGTGGAGCTCCATTCCCCTCCATGCTCTGAAACAAGCAACTAAAAATAGGCATGTGGATCCAGTCTACAGCAGAACGCTTGAGGGAAAGATCTCCAAACTAGCCTTGCTGAGAGGCAGAAGCCTATATTTTCTGATTCATCTATGGAACACTTGTGTACATATTTGTATTTTTGTGGATACATGGAAACAAAATCTGGAGATATGGGTGGCTTTCACAAGTGCCAGACCAGAGTCTGTCCACAGTGGTACAATGGAGTCTATTTGATTGCCGGCTGTTTCCTTTACACCTAGAGGGGAAAAAAGTTAAAGACTTTCTCAACAAAGTAAAGTATGGGAGCCCCTGAAATTTATTCTTACAGCACTTAGCATACCTGTGAGCTCTTGTTCACTGTCTGGCTTCTCTGCAA